CTTGGCATAGATTCTACAAGTGTCTGGAACTCTATTGGAGGGATGTGACACCCTTCTTCCACAAGAAATTCCATCATTTGGTGTTTTGTTGATGCTGGTGGAAAACGCTGTTTCAGTCACCGCCCCAGAATCTCCCATAAGTGTTCAATTGGGTTGAGATCTGGTGACTGAGACACCCATGGCTTATGGTTTACATCGTTTTTATGCTCACCAAACCATTCAGTGACCACTCGTGCCCTGCAGACGGGGGCATTGTCATCCTTTGAGGCCATAGCCATGGTAGCCAAAATAATGGCCTGCCCAGCATTTCTATACATGACCCTAAGCATGATGAGATGTTAATTGCGTAATTAACTCAATTAACTGCTTTCAATATGTATCCCTCATTTACTCAAGTGTTTCCATTATTTTGGCAGTTACCTGTATGTTGCGTTGCAATACTGCTCTTGTGTCTGTGTATTCAAAGATTTAACAGACTAATGCCAGAGTAGAGTTCAAAGGTAGCAGATGTGTCCTCTGTCTTGAGGCTACTGGTCAGTGTGAGTAGAGAACTGATCTGAGTTTCCCACACTGAGTCCTGTGTGCTGTGATCAATGCACTACAAAAGCTGCTCAGTGGACCTTTAGTGACGGCTGTTGGCTCTGTGTTGTACTATAGACAGAGGCTGACGTCACAGACCATCTGGATTCTGAAGGGAAACTACCACTGGCTCCTTACATACTGTTTCATATATTTAGTTCATTTTATTCAGGTATTAACATTTTTCAGACTACATTACTGAATATCATACCCTATCTTTTTTGTGGACAATTATATTGTTATTAATGGTTATATTGATGTAAAGAATGAAGCTGCCAATGACTCTAAACTATGAATCTGCTCTCCAGAGCTTTCCCACACTTTGTCCATTGACGGAAATACCTTTGAACAATAGAAGTGTGCCTTGTTAAATGCTAATTTATCTCTTTATACAACCAATTCCCCAAAAGTGCCTGGTGAGTGGCTTGTTAGTTAAATATGACTCCATTTCAATATGACTGAACTGCAAGTGTGCTAGGCATAAGAGTGAAACAACAGCCATGCGACAACCATGATCAATTATCACCTAATTACTGATGCCATTTTTAATCAGAAAACCAATTACTGCAATGTTGTGATTTATCAGAAGTTGAGCATGTTACTGACTTGACTTTAGCCACGACAACATCTGGTAAATCTGATACACATCTTAACAGTAGTTGTATTGCAGTAAGTCAGGACTAAATGTTTCCTTATGGGGATATAATGGTTTTAGCCTTATACTGTCATTGATGCTTGAACACATTCCACTAACAAGCTTGCTAGACAGTAAAAGGTTTTCTGTGGCATGTGGAACTGTTCAAGGTGTATAACATTCTAAGTACAGCATGTTGTGTGTTTATTCATGCATTATCTGAGTAAGTTATTCACTTATGTCATGTACAAGTTATACGTTCTGCATTTTAAGTGTTTACACCCGAAAATCTTTTTTATAAATTAATATGAGGTTTTCAGATAAGGCCCATGTCAGTTTTTTCTTTAACACGCGTGGCCTGTACTGTACATGTATTCACTTTTTGATTTCTTACCTTCCATTTTATGCTTTCTTGTGCGATATAATTGACCAAATGTTGGCTTGTTGACTGTCCAAGTTCACAAGCTACTGTAGAGGTATGAATGGCCCTTTAGTGTATATTCATCAGTTCTGTATCAATCAGGTTTTCTGTAATTTCATGTCAGGAGCATAAAACTGAGAGAAGAAATAATTTCTCCATGAGATAATACATAAAGTATGCATCTAATGATTTCAAGGATAATGCCATATTCCTCCTCCCTCTGGGGTTTGCCAATGGAGAGCTGTGTTTTGAATACAATACGAAAAGATAAGTGAAAGATATTATGAAAATATTTATTTAGTCTTTGAATGAAACACTTTAGGCACATTTAAAAGCACATTAGGCACATTTGTGTATTAGGCACATTTGTCTTTGTGTGAAGCCATTCATTAGTAATTGAAAACAAAATAAACAATATGATTTAAGATAACAATCATAACATTTCCTCTTAGTATAAAGGACAGCAGGGTTCAAATTATACATTGACTCACATACCCTAAGAAAGTGGGATGAACCAATGGTCACATTTTCAATACTTCTACATTGTAACAAGAGTGGCCAGCACTCGTTAATTCAAACTCTGAGGACAAGTGTTTACAATCAGAGTAACCGGCTCTGCTCTCTTTCAGGTAACATAGATCAACAAACACATCCAAAGTTGACTTAGGATAGAGCAGTACAACTGCTTATAACAATGCATGCAATGCATTTCCAAATAATTTCTACAGAATTTATAATATACACAAACTAAGCTGCACACAATCATTGTAATTTTAGACAACACATATTTTGTACTTATTATTAATTTAACTATGTCTCTCTGTCAGTTGCAATCCAGTGTCGGCCAATCAGTTGCAGTCTACGTCTATAGCAGCATCACAAGGGAATACATTAAGCCAACGCCACAGTAAATGTCAGCAGGGTCCTTGACCTCTGAACTGTAACCTCCACGTCCATTATTTTTCCGTTCATTGTTCAAAGCAGAGTGGTACAATGTCCTCCTCTGGAGCGGGAAAGAGACGTAGTATGTCCCTGGAATATTTGGAATAGCCGGTGGGTGACAGCAAGGCTTTCTTCGGAGTGAAAAAGGACACCGTTTTCTCCAGAATAGGAGATATGGGAGATGTAGGGATCCCGTTCTGGAGGTGTTCTCCAATAACTATCTTCAGTTTCTCCACACCACTGCTGCACTTCCTCTCCAACAGAGAGAGTTTACACCTGAAAAACAAGACAATCATGAACACCTCTTCTCACGCACAGAGTTTATATTAATTTATAACACTTATGACCTGAAGTATTTCAATATAATTTATCATGAGCTTACCTAATGTGCTGATCTTTCACGTTCATGCTGTCCTGAAGAGCGATGTCCAAGTAGGCAGGCATTTTCAGATGTTGGCCTTGAGTTTGCAGCTCGTCAATAAAGTAGAGATGTTGTTGTTGGCAGGTCTTGGTTAGGGTCTAGAGTTTGTGTTATGGTAGCTCCTCTGTTCTGCTGGTCTTGGGTCAGCTGATGCTTAGAGAGTCTACATAAGTGAGCTCTGCATCTCCACATTGTATTTATGTGCCTCCTTCTGCGCTGTCTCATGCTCTGCAGCCAATCAGAGGGCTCCGATGGTGGGACAATAGTCAGTGGGAATAATAGCTGATTCCTCACAGGACAGGTGGGATGTTTTTTTTTTACGCCATATGCCAAAGAGGTCGGCCACATTAGTCCCTGGGAACATGTCTATGCCCATGAGTACTCCGAAAAATCCTGTTCCCATGTCAAGTTGTGATACAAATCAACAAAATGCAAATATGACACAAATGCTAGTTTCACAAATCTTTCTGCTCCTAGCCAATAGATTACAATGATATACTTGTGTACTATATTTCCGATATGGCCTTTTTACAGTAACTTGGTCATGGCAAGAGTCTAATAGATAACGTAGTATTATATTAATCTGGAAATCTTTGTTCGCTGACGGTTGAGATACATAAGCAACTTTCCATAATATGGGGTCAATTTGTAAACTTTCTCTTCAATATATATTTTAAGAGTTTCTTTGGTAAAGATCTTGTCAAAATATTGTGCAATTCCTTAAAGTGTTCCCAAATTAAGTTATATGGGATCCAGATGGTAGATCCAGATCCCTGTAGGCAGTGGTAGAAAATGTACCCATTGTCATATTTGAGTAAAAGTAAAGATACCTTAATAGAAAATGACTCAAGTAAAAGTGAAAGTCACCCAGTTAAATACTACTTGAGTAAAAATCTAAAAGTATTTGACTTTAAAATATACTTAAGTATCAAAAGTAAAAGTATAAATCATTTCAAATTCCTTATATTAGGCAAACTTGTTTTTTAAATGTACGTATAGTCAGGGGCACACTCCAACACTTAGATATCATTTACAAATGAAGCATTTGTGTTTAGTGAGTCCGCCAAATCAGAGGCAGTAGGAATGAGCAGGGATGTTCTCTTGAGAAGTGTGTGAATTGGACAATTTCCCTGTGCTGTTAAGCATTCAAAATGTAACGAGTACTTTGGGTGTCAGGGAAAATGTATGGAGTAAAAAGTACATTATTTTCTTTAGGAATAAGTAAAAGTAGTCAAAAATATAAATAGTAAAGTAAAGTACAGATACCCCCAAAAAACAACTTAGTACTTTAAAGTATTTTTACTTAAGTATTTACACTACTGCCTATAGGTACTAGCCTACCCTATAAACCAATCCCTCTCCCTGCATGGCTTGCTGTGCATGGGCACAGCCAGTCGGGCTTTGTGAGTCAGGGCTCAGCAGACTGCATGCAGAAGTGTGGGAAGCCGTGTGTCCCTTTGGCTCCCAGCTCCAGGGAGAGGAGGGTGTGTGACTGGGGCACGCTCAGCATTGTGCAGGGAGCCAGCTGTGCTGTGGAGCTCAGAGGAGGGAAGTTTGCTGCCTGGGGCTTCTATGAAACCTGAGCCTGTAGACAGACTGAAGGTCATCATCATCATCTCAGAGCTGCTGCACTTTGATGGAGTCACATTACCTCAGAGGTCATCTGCTAGAGACAGATCAGTCTGAAATGACTCAAATCTGATTAATACCATTTCTGTCTGTAAAAACTTTTAGAAAAATGAAATACAATTTTAGAATCCTAACAGCAATTTATATAATGTGCTGTCGTCATTTTAGAGACGTGTCAGTCCCACACGTGTAAGTAGTAATGTTGAGCGTGTGCTCTGTCAGTGTCTTTGATCCCAACATCAGGCAGCAGATCTGGGGGTCACCACTTTCCCAGATTCACACAGCGCTCTGTGAGTCTCTCTCCATCACCCCCCACCCCTCCACCTGTTCCCCTGAGACGTGACCATTGTCCCCCAGCAATAAGAACACTGAGCATGTGGCAGCTTCACACTCCTCATTGTCCTCCCAAGCTCACCCATTGGCTACAGACTGTGAGAAACTCCAACAAGCCCAAGACCCACACATTCATATGCAGATTTGGGACTGTATATAGGAGAAATGAAGCCAGTAGAGATCAGATTCTCTCAACACTGAGACCTCTACAGCACAGAGATCCATCCATGGTACCTACTATCACTTCAGCTATGATCTACTCTAAGGAGCACCTGTCTCTGAAAAACAAGGTAAATTGAAGATTCAAATTCAATGACATTTATTCAGTTGTCTTTTTAATTTTACATTTTTTATTTCACCTTTATTTAACCTGGTAAGCCAGTTGAGAACAAGTTCTCATTTACAACTGCGACCTGGCCAAGATAAAGCAAAGCAGTGCGATTAAAAACAACAACACAGAGTTATGTGGGGTAAAACAAAACATAAAGTCAAAAAAGACAACAGAAAATATATATACAGTGTGTGCAAATGTAGCAAGTTATGGAGGTAAGGCAATAAATAGGCTATAGTGCAAAATAATTACAATTAGTATTAACACTGGAATGATAGATGCGCAAGAGATTATGTGCAAATAGAGATACTGGGGTACAAATTAGCAAAATAAATAACAATATAGGGATGAGGTAGTTGGGTGGGCTAATTTCAGATGGGCTGTGTACAGGTGCAGTGATCGGTAAGGTGCTCTGACAACTGATGCTTAAAGTTAGTGAGGGAGATAAGAGTCTCCAGCTTCAGAGATTTTTGCAATTTTCTTATTTTTTTTTTGTATTGATTGATTGTTTATTTGTTTCAATAATGTCATACACCAGAATAAGGTTATTAATGACTCTTCGTCTCTTCTTGCAGCTAAGAAAGCCAGTGGTGAAGAAGTTACGCAGATATCGTATCAACAACAGCATTGAGCATCTCAAGTCTCTCCTGGTTCCAGAGATCCTCAAACAGCAGCCCGACTCCAAGCTGGACAAAGCCGACATCCTGGAGATGACAGTTTGCTTCCTGAGACGACAGCAACAGAACCAGCCAGTGAGCTCCTCCTCCTGCTGCTCAGCACCTGTCAATCAGGGTTACTCCAGGTGTGTCCAAGAGATTGTTCACTTCCTGTCTAAGGATGAGGTGAAGACACAGTCCCAGAGAAGACTGCTGAGCCACTTCCAGAGCCTGCAGCCATCCTCTGATAAGAACAGGAGAGAGATTGACCTGCCTCCCCAGCCCAGCACAGCATCAGCAAAGAGAAGTCCAGTACCCCATCGCCCTCTGGAGGCCCTGGTAGAGTCCTACAGACTGGAGCTCCAATCAGACAAACACAATGGATGGACCATATTGGTCCAAGATTAATTTCATGGAAAGTAATGAGAATAAGAAGATATCATCTTCATCCATGTTTAAAAGTCTTGCTGGGATTGAGACATTCCATTTCAGTTGTACTGAAGTTAAAAGGTTTTTCCAAGAAAACAATCTTATCTATGAAAACTACGTTTTTGTAGTGTTAATTGAAATCATCATAACCTTTATGTTTTGTGAAACAGGTTGATTATATTGATCATGTGTTTATATTCATGATCAACAATAACTTGAATTGTCCTTCATCAGAACCTTAAAACCAAAATGGGTGTTATATCATCAATCTTTTTGTGATTGTCTATGATTAATCTGTTTATAAGGTCAAAATATCAATAATTTTTTCCCACTACATTTGTGTAGTGATATAGTCATATTGACATTGTATTGAGCATCTTCTGTGAAGCATGTATTAGTTGTATATTTGATATTAATCAACTTGAGCTACAGCATCAATGTTCCTCCAGGAGGATTATTTACCTAAACTGGGTAAAGTGGGCGGCAGGTATCTTAGTAGTTAAGAGCGTTGTGCCAGTAACCGAAAGGTCGCTGGTTCTAATCCCTGAGCCGACTAGGTGAAAAATCTGTCTGTGCCTTTAAACAAGGCACTTAACCCTAATTGCTCCTATAAGTCGCTCTTGATAAGAGCGTCTGCTAAATGACTAAAATGTATACCTGTTATCATCACTCTGTGACTAGCAATATTTGATCTGTTTTAAGATGATACCTTATTTGTGAAATTGTCGCTTACATTATTTGAATAATGTTTTTATTGCAAATGGGAGGACAAATGTCTAATTGAAAAACCCTTGTTTATTTTAAACAATTCTGTTGGTTTTTTCAAAGACAGTAACTGTGTATCCTATACTCTGATAGAGTATCATGTCTTGGAGATTTGTTCAAGTTCTTGTTGTGATGTTTAATCACTTTATTTCTCTTGAAATATTTACCTTAAATTAAGGTATTGATGGTGTGACTCATTGAGTCAGTATGAATAAATACACAAATCATTAAATGAAATATTCTTGTCTGTTGCTTTATTCTTTTCTTGACAAAGACAATCCTCCAACAACATTACATTAAGAAATTACTGATTAATGAAATCCACATAGATTGTGGCTGATAAAAAAAATAAAAAATAAATCCCAAGAATGTACAGAATGATATTGACTGCATTAGAATGCAACACTCAATCGAATCAATATATTTATTTGCACCTCTGGGTGCTTTATTCAAAATCTACAGAGTCAGATAAATGTTAAGAGACATTTGTAGTCATACATTATTATTTTACGATAATTGTTTTTGTGTAAAACATAACATTCATATCATATATTGATTGAGCAAAGGTGTAGTGAACCATGTAGAGATAAGTGAACATCAATCTGAGTTCTTTAGGAGGCATGACGGATGTTTTTTTTTTTTACTGATGCACCTGTTTTAAATAAATCTATTTTCAGCGTTTCAGAATCTATTCAATGACTTTAGTTTGGTCATAATATATCAGTGATTCCAGGTGTTGGGCCAAAACTAGTACTGTCATTTTAGTGCTTTAAACGTTTAGGGCAGCTGTGCCCCTCAAACTCAATAGCTAATGTGATGTGTAATAAGACACACTTCTATTGTTCCTCTATTGAAAGCAGTGAATGGAGAGAGAGTGTGGGAAACCGAGGAGAACTCACTCACAGAGCCCCTTTGGGACAATAGACTGGGACCTCTACCCTGGACTGTCAGAGGTTAGAGAGGGGGTCTGGGTCTCTATGGGGAAATCAACCGATACATTTCTGATAATCCCACAACATTTCATGTTTAGTATTTGGGTCTTGAATTTAGAAATCTGCTAAAACATATGTTTCTAATAAAAGTTCAAGATATCATTTTCTTGCATTTTAAATGCACTTTTAGGCAGTACTTGCACCTTCTTCAAGATTAATGCAATTAATGCAGTTTTTATTTTGTTTGTATGTGGGGCATGGTTGAAAACATTATATTTGTTTGTGTACACATACACGAACAGCTTGAATTGATTCTCTGTAACAGTGAGTCTTTATCTGTGCCTTAAGATACATATTTCTGGAATGAACTTCACCCCCAACTGCTTGATAGGAACTGCTTGTGTAGAGATTAATGATCATTTAACAAGGCACACTTCTATTGTTTAGTGGAAACTCTCTCAATGGGCAAAGTGTGTGAAACCTCTGGAGAGAAGATTCACAGTTTAGTGTCATCAGGATCATCAGTCCCACCAGCACCTGTGAGTCTCTATGGGTAATATGCAGACTTCTATTGTTCAGTGGATAGAATGGGTGGGAGGGGGTATTTTGGGTTATTTCTTACACTTTCTTATGAGGGAAATACAATAAATATTAAATAAAGAAAACTAATTTACTTACCCAAGTTATTAATGGCTTTTTCTATCTTAATGATTGGCAGAGTTTTATTCAGTACATTCATGTAGTTCAGTTGTTTTTGTGATAAACAGTGAACAGCTCTCAATTCCACTTAGGCATACAAAAGTTAACCCTTTGTTGATTATAATGAAACAAATCACAGACAAAATTTTTAAAAGAGTTCTCATAATCATGTGTTCTATGCCATTATAGGATTAATTTGTATGTATAAAGGTGTGTCTTGTTAGTATAATCTTGCCAGTGCTGATCTTTCCCTCCAAAACCCAGAAGGTCTGTGATGTCAGCCTCTATCTATAGTACAACACAGAGCCAACAGTCGTCACTAATGGTCCACTGAGCAGCTTTTGTAATGCATTGATCACAGCACACAGGACTCAGTGTGGGAAACTCAGATCAGCTCTCTACTCACACTGACCAGTAGACTCAAGACAGAGGACACATCTGCTACATTTGAACTCCAGAATGCTTGACCATATAACTTCTAATATTGAGATAAGAGACCCCTTGCTATTGATATGGATTTTCTCTAAAATACTGAAAATAAAGATATTCATTATCCACTCACGTGTTAATGTTGACTAAAATCGTATATATTCCAAAACATTCTGACTAACTGAAAAGACAAACATGCATGAAATTAAACAGGAATGAAAATGGTGACACATTGTCATATATCATCATATTGTTAAATATAACTACCGGTATGTGCAATGTAAAACCATATTGCAGAGTCATTCATTAATATCAGAGTTAATATAAATGGTGAAAGAATAAAATATGCCTAAATCAGTGATGAAGCGTGGATACAGAATACTACATTAAACAATGTCCTTATAGGTGGGGATTAATAACACTGTTCGTTTTTTTCGAGAATCTGTGTCCGTCTCACACGTGTAAGTTGTAATGATGAGCGTGTGCTCTGTCAATGTCATTGATCTCAACATCAGGCAGCAGATCTGTGGGTCACCACTTTCCCAGATTCACACAGCGCTCTGTGAGTCTCTCTCCATCACCCCCCACCCCTCCACCTGTTCCCCTGAGACGTGACCATTGTCCCCCAGCAATAAGAACACTGAGCATGTGGCAGCTCCACACTCTTCATTGTCCTCCCAAGCTCACCCATTGGCTAAAGACTGTGAGAAACTCCAACAAGCCCAAGACCCACACATTCATATGCAGATTTGGGACTATATATAGGGGAGATGAAGCCAGTAGAGATCAGATTCTCTCAACACTGAGACCTCTACAGCACAGAGATCCAGCCATGGCACCTACAATCACTTCAGATATGATCTACTCTAAGGAGCACCTGACTCTGAAAAACAAGGTAAATTGAAGATATAAATTCAATGACATTTATTCAATTGCATTGATTGATTGCTTATTTGTTTCAATAATGTCATACACCAGAATAAGGTTATTAATGCCTCTCCTCGTCTCTTCTTGCAGCTAAGAAAGCCAGTAGTGGAGAAGTTACGCAGAGATCGTATCAACAACAGCATTGAGCAACTCAAGTCTCTCCTGGTTCCAGAGATCCTCAACCAGCAGCCCGACTCCAAGCTGGACAAAGCCGACATCCTGGAGATGACAGTTAGCTTCCTGAGACAACAGCAACAGAACCAGCCAGTGAGCTCCTCCTCCAGCTCAGCACCTGTCAATCAGGGTTACTCCAGGTGTGTCCAAGAGATTGTTCACTTCCTGTCTAAGGATGAGGTGAAGACACAGTCCCAGAGAAGACTACTGAGCCACTTCCAGAGCCTGCAGCCATCCTCTGATAAGAACAGCAGGGAGATTGACCTGCCTCCGCTGAGCTCCCCAGCCCAGCACAGCATCAGCAAAGAGAAGAGTCCTGTCAACAGCTCCCTCTGGAGGCCCTGGTAGAGTCCTACAGACTGGAGCTCCACTCAAAACACAATGGATAGACCATGTTGGTCTAAGATTAATTTAATGGACAGTAATGAGTATAAGAAAAATGTCTTCTTCATCCTCTGCTTATGCAGGAGTTTTTAAAAGTCTTGCTGTGATTGAGACACTTCATTTCAGTTGTACTGAAGTTAAAAGGTTTTCCAAGAAAACAATTGGATCTATGAAAACTACATTTTTGTAGTGTTAATTGAAATCATCATAACCTTTATGTTTTGTGAAACGTGTTGATTATATTGATCATGTGTTTATATTCATGATCAACAATAACTTTAATTGTCCTCCATGAGATCCTTTAAACCAAAATGGGTGTTATATCATCAATCGGTTTGTGATTGTCTATGATTGATCTGTTTTTAAGGTCAAAATATCAGTCATTTGTTTTACCACTACATTTGTGTAGTGATATAGTCATATTAACATTGTATTGAGCATCTTCTGTGAAGCATGTATCAGTTATATATTTGATATGGATCAACTTGAGCTACAGCATCAATGTTCCTCCAGGAGGATTATTTACCCAAACTGGGTATTATACCTGTTATCATCACTCTGTGATTAGCAATATTTGATCTGTTTTAAGATTATACCTAATTTGTGAAATTGTCACTTACATTATTTGAATGATGTGTTTATTGCAAATGGGAGAACAAATGTCTAATTGAAAAACCCTCGTTTATTTTAAACAATTATGTTTTCTTTTATAAAGACAGTAACTTTGTATCCTATTCTCTGATAGAGTATCATGTCTTGGACATTTGTTCAAGTTCTTGTTGTGATGTTTAATCACTATTCCTCTTGAAATATTTACCTTACGTTAAGGTATTGATGGTGTGACTCATTGAGTCAGTCAAAATAAATACACAAATCATCAAATGAAATATTATTGTCTGTTACTTCACTCTTTTCTCCACTGAAATACGCTTCCAATAGAGTTACATTGCTGACTTATGATATTCCACATATAGCTACTAGCTAGACTACAGTATATAGGGAAAAATAAGAAAAAGCCTACTTTGAGCCAAGACTGTAAAAAATTATCTTGAAAGAATGACACTATACAGGTATATCATTCACCTCTTGGTGCTTCGTTCAAAATCTACAGAGTAAAATAAAATACATTTCTAGCCATAATTTATTAATTCACATGATTAGTTTGATGGAGTCAGAAATGACTAACTAACGATTTGGCTGTTTATAATTGGTCATATGAGTTCCCAGAGACATGGCTGTGTTGTTTTTACTGAAACACCTGATTTACATTCATTCATTTTAGGTATATCAGAACGTATTGCAATAGCATTTGCATTCCATGATTTTTAGTTTGTACATGATATACCAGTGATTCAAGGTGTTAGGCCAAAACTGCTGCCGTCATCTTAGTGCTCTAAAAGTTTAGGGCTGCCGTGCCGCATAATATTATGTGTAATAAGACACACTTCTATTGTTCCTCTATTGAAAGCAGTGAATGGAGAGAGAGTGTGGGAAACCGAGGAGAACTCACTCACAGAGCCCCTTTGGGACAATAGACTGGGACCTCTACCTGGACTGTCAGAGGTTAGAGAGGGGGTCTGGGTCTCTATGGGGAATTTAATCAATATATTTCTGATAATCCCACAACATTTAATGTTCAGTATTTGGATCTTGAAATTAGAAATCTGCTAAAACATATTTTTCTAATAAAAGTTCAAGATATCAATTTTTTTGTACTTGCATTTTTAATGCACTTTTAGGCAGTACTTGCATCTTCTTCAAGATTAATGCAATTAATGCAGTTTTTATTCTGTTTGTTTGTGGGGCATGGTTGAAAACATGCTATTTGTTTGTGTGCACAAACACATAGAGCTTCAATTGATTCGCTGTAACAATTAGTATTTATCTGTTGCTTAAGATAAATATTTTTGTAATGAGCTTCACCCCCAACTGCTTGATAGGAACTGCTTGTGTAGAGATTAATGATCATTTAACAAGGCACACTTCTATTGTTTAGTGGAAACTCTCTCAATGGGCAAAGTGTGTGAAACCTCTGGAGAGAAGATTCACAGTTTAGTGTCATCAGGATCATCAGTCCCACCAGCACCTGTGAGTCTCTATGGGTAATATGCACACTTCTATTGTTCAGTGGATAGAATGGGTGGGAGGGGGTATTTTGGGTTATTTCTTACACTTTCTTATGAGGGAAATTCAATAATTATTAAATACCCAAGTTATGATAGGCTTTTTCTATCTTGGTGATGGACAGAGTTTTATTCAGTACATTCATGTAGTTCAGTTGTTTGTGTGATAAACAGTGAACAGCTCTCAATTCCACTTAGGCATACAAAAGATAACCCTGTGTCGATTTATAACGTAACAAATCACAGACAATAATTTTCAAAGAGTTCTCATAATCATGTGGTCCTCTGTAGCTCAGCTGGTAGAGCACGGTTCTTGTAAAGCCAAGGTAGTGGGTTCGATCCCCAGGACCACCCACACACAAAAAAAATAATGTATGCACGCATGTCTGTAAGATGCTTTGGATAAAAGTTTCTGCTAAATGGCATATTATTATGTGTTCTATGCCGTTATAGGATGAATTTGTATGTATAAAGGTGTATCTTGTTAGTATAGTCTTGCCAGGGCTGATCTTTCCCTCCAAAACCCAGAAGGTCTGTGATGTCAGCCTCTGTCTATAGTACAACACAGAGCCAATGGTCCACTGAGCAGCTTTTGTAGTGCATTGATCACAGCACACAGGACTCAGTGTGGGAAACTCAGATCAGCTCTCTACTCACACTGACCAGTAGCCTCAAGACAGAGGACACATCTGCTACCTTTGAACCAGAATGCTTGACCATATAACTTCTACTACTGAGTTAAGAGACCTGTTTCTATTGATGTGGATTTTCTCTAAAATACTGAAAATAAAGATATTCATTATCCACTCACGTGTTAATGTTGACTAAAATCGTATATATTCCAAAACATTCTGACTAACTGAAAAGACAAACATGCATGAAATTAAACAGGAATGAAAATGGTGACACATTGTCATATATCATCATATTGTTAAATATAACTACCGGTATGTGCAATGTAAAACCATATTGCAGAGTCATTCATTAATATCAGAGGTCATATCCATGGTGAAATAATAAAATATGCCTAAATCAGTGATGAAGAGTGGATACAGAATACTACATTCAACTATATCCTTAAAGGTGGGGATTAATAACGCTGTACGTTTAATTAGAGAATCTGTGTCCGTCTCACACGTGTAAGTTGTAATGATGAGCGTGTGCTCTGTCAGTGTCATTGATCCCAACATCAGGCAGCAGATCTGTGGGTCACCACTTTCCCAGATTCACACAGCGCTCTGTGAGTCTCTCTCCATCACCCCCCACCCCTCCACCTGTTCCCCTGAGACGTGACCATTGTGCCCCCAGCAATAAGAACACTGAGCATGTGGCAGCTCCACACTCCTCATTGTCCTCCCAAGCTCACCCATTGGCTACAGACTGTGAGAAACTCCAACAAGCCCAAGACCCACACACTCATATAATAATAATATGCCATTTAGCAGACGCTTTTATCCAAAGCGACTTACAGTCATGCGTGCATACATTTTTGTGTATGGGTGGTCCCGGGGATCGAACCCACTACCTTGGCGTTACAAGCGCCGTGCTCTACCAGCTGAGCTACAGAGGACCACACCATATGCAGATTTGGGACTATATATAGGGGAGATGAAGCCAGTAGAGATCAGATTCTCTCTACACTGAGACCTTTACAGCACAGAGATCCAGCCATGGCACCTACAATCACTTCAGAGATTAATAACTGTAAGGAGCACCTGACTCTGACAAACAAGGTAAATTGAAGATTCAAATTCAATGACATTTATTCAGTAGTATTGATTGATTGTTTATTTGCTTCAATAATGTCATACACCAGAATAAGGTTATTAATGCCTCTCCTCGTCTCTTCTTGCAGCTAAGAAAGCCAGTGGTGGAGAAGTTACGCAGAGATCGTATCAACAACAGCATTGATCAACTCAAGTCTCTCCTGGGTCCAGAGATCCTCAACCAGCAGCCCGACTCCAAGCTAGACAAAGCCGACATCCTGGAGATGACAGTTAGCTTCCTGAGACAACAGCAACAGAACCAGCCAGTGAGCTCCTCCTCCAGCTCAGCACCTGTCAATTATGTTTACTCCAGGTGTGTCCAAGAGATTGTTCACTTCCTGTCTAAGGATGAGGTGAAGACACAGTCCCAGAGAAGACTGCTGAGCCACTTCCAGAGCCTGCAGCCATCCTCTGATAAGAACAGCAGGGAGATTGACCTGCCTCCGCTGAGCTCCCCAGCCCAGCACAGCATCAGCAAAGAGAAGAGTCCTGTCAACAGCTCCCTCTGGAGGCCCTGGTAGAGTCCTACAGACTGGAGCTCCACTCAGACAAACACAATGGACCATGTTGGTCTAAGATTCTTTTCATGGACAGTAATAAGAATAATAAGAGATCTTCTTCTGCTTCTGCAGGAGTTTTTAAAGGTTTGGTGTGATTGAGACATTTCATTTCAGTTGTAGTACGTTTTTCCAAGAAAACAATCTGATCGATAAAAACAATATTTTTGTAGTGTTAATTAAAATCATGATAACCTTTGTTTTGTGAAACGTGTTGGTTACATTGGTCATGTCTTTATATTCATGATCAACAATAACTTTAATGGTCCTCCATGAGAAACGTTAACCCAAAATTGATGTTATATCATCAATCTGTTTGTGATTATCTATGACTGATCTGTTTTTAAGGTCAAAATATGAGAGTTATTTTTGTTACCACTACATTTGTGTAGTGATATCGTCATATTGACATTGTATTGAGCATCTTCTGTGAAGCATGTATCAGTTGTATATTTGATATTGATCAACTTGAGCTACAGCATCAATGTTCCTCCAGGAGGATTATTTACCTAAACTGGGTACTATACCTGTTTTCATCACTCTGTGGTTAGCAATATTTAATATGTTTTAAGATCAGACTTTATTTGTGAAATTGTTGCTCACATTATTTGAATAATGTGTTTATTGTAAATGGGAGAAAAACATTTATAATTGAAAAACCCTTGTTTATTTTAAACAATTATGTTTTATTTTATAAAAACAGTAACTGTGTATCCTATACTCTGATAGAGTATCATGTCGTGGAGATTTGTTCAAGTTCTTGTTGTGATGTTTAATCACTTTATTTCTCTTGAAATATTTACCTTAAATTACGGTATTGATGGTGTGACTCATTGAGTCAGTCTGAATGAATACACAAATCATCAAATGAATTATTATTGTCTGTTGCTTTATTATTTTATTGACAAAGACAATCCTCCAACAACATTACATGGTTAAATGACTGATTAATGAAATTCCACATAGATTGTGGCTGATGCAAAAACAAAACAAAATTATAAAGTGTTGTGGTCAGATGAGACCAAAACGGAGCTCTTTGGCATCAACTCAACTCGCCGTGTTTGGAGGAGGTGGAATGCTGCCTATGACCCCAAGAACACCATCCCCATCGTCAAACATGGAGGTGGAAACATTATGCTTTGGGGGTGTTTTTCTGCTAAGGGGACAGGACAACTTCACCACATCAAAGGGATGATGGATGGGGCCATGTACCGTCAAATCTAGGGTGAGAACCTCCTTCCCTCAGCCAGGGCATTGAAAATGGGTCGTGGATGGGTATTCCAGCATGACAATGACCCAAAACACACGGCCAAGGCAACAAAGGAGTGGCTCAAGAAGAAGCACATTAAGGTCCTGGAGTGGCCTAGCCAGTCTCCAGACCTTAATCCCATAGAAAATCTGTGGAGGGAGCTGAAGGTTCGAGTTGCCAAACGTCAGCCTCGAAACCTTGACTTGGAGAAGATCTGCAAAGAGGAGTGGGAAAAAATCCCTCCTGAGATGTGTGCAAACCTGGTGGCCAACTACAAGAAACGTCTGACCTCTGTGATTGCCAACAAGGGTTTTGCCACCAAGTACTAAGTCATGTTTTGCAGAGGGGTCAAATACTTATTTCCCTCATTAAAATACAAATCAATTTATAACATTTTTGACATGTGTTTTTCTGGATTTTTTTGTTGTTATTCTGTCTCTCACTGTTCAAATAAACCTACCATTAAAATTATAGACTGATATTTCTTTGTCAGTGGGCAAACATACAAAATCAGCAGGGGATCAAATACTTTTTTCCCTCACTGTATTACATGTGGTCCTCTGTAGCTCAGCTGGTAGAGCACGGCGCTTGTAACGCCAAGGTAGTGGGTTCGATCCCCGGGACCACCCATACACAAAAATGTATGCACGCATGACTGTAAGTCGCTTTGGATAAAAGCGTCTGCTAAATGGCTTATTATTATTATCACTTCCACGCGCCTGGTGATGATTCTGCGTGATAAGCTAATTTTCTCGAATTGGCTTTTACTCTCAGGACAAAGTTTTCCAACCGGTCTCCACAATACACTCTTTCACAAACTCCCCTTCAGCAAAAGGATTGCTATGCTTTGTGATTTTATGTGCCACTAGTAGCTTGCCGTAGTTATGGAGTCTTGAGTAGAGCACCGTTTAGTAAACATATTCTGTTGGGCTTTTAAGTTTGTGGCAAGTTTTGAGGCCTTCCTTGCCTTTTCCTGAGAGGATAGATTGCTAGCGTAGTTAGCATTCTTGCTTGAAAAATGATGATTGAGATTATATTCCTTAAAAACGGCAACACTTTCTTGGCATATCAGCCTTATGTCCAATATCAGGAAAAAAGTATTTTGCTGTCCATTTTTCTTTAAACACACGACATTCAGAGTCCACTTTTCTCATTTTCATAGCACTCATTTTTCACATCAAAAGTTGTCAAGCAATGAAGTGGCTATGATGACTGAGCGCATTCTGAATCTGAATGTAGGCCCAAATACAGAGCGTGCTGCCAGGCTACAGCGCCATCTATTGGAGGTTGTTTGTATATCATGGAATTAGTAATTTTATGCCAAAAATCGTAACTCAAATATAATAATATTTAAAACATTTAAAAAATGTCTCGCGAGCCGGATTGAAGTGCCAGGCGGGTCGTACTTTGCCCCCCTTTGCCTAGGTGCTTCATAAAAAATCTACAGAGTAAGATAAATGTTGAGACATTTCTAGTCACATACTATTATTTTACAATAATTGTTTTTAAGTAAAACATAACATTCATATTATATCTTGATGGAGTAAAGGTGTGATGAACCATAGAGAGATAAGTGATCATCAATCTGAGTTCCTTTGGAGGCATGACGGATGTTTTTTTTACTGAGGCACCTGTTTTAAATAAATGTATTTTCAGTGTTCAGAATCTATTAAATTATTTTAGTTTGGTCATAATATATCAGTGATTCCAGGTGTTGGGCCAAAACTAGTACTGTCATTTTAGTGCTTTAAACGTTTACGGCAGCTGTGCCCCTCAAACTCAATAGCTAATGTGATGTGTAATAAGACACACTTCTATTGTTCCTCTATTGAAAGCAGTGAATGGAGAGAGAGTGTGGGAAACCGAGGAGAACTCACTCACAGAGCCCCTTTGGGACAATAGACTGGGAGGTTAGAGAGGGGGTCTGGGTCTCTATGGGGAATTTAATCAATATATTTCTGATAATCCCACAACATTTAATGCTCAGAATTTGGGTCTTGAATTTAGAAATCTGCATATGTTTCTAATAAAAGTTCAAGATATCATTTTTTTGCATTTGCATTTTTATAGGACTTTTAGGCAGTACTTGCACCTTCTTCAAGATTAATGCAATTAATGCCGTTTTTATTCTGTTTGTTTGTGGGGCATGGTTGACAACATTATATTTGTTTGTGTACACATACACCTACAGCTTGAATTGATTCTCTGTAACAGTGAGTCTTTATCAGTGGCTTAAGATAAATATTTTTTGTAATGAGCTTCACCCCCAAGGGCTTGATAGGAACTGCTTGTGTAGAGATGAATTATCATTTAACAAGGCACACTTCTATTGTTTAGTGGAAACTCTCTCAATGGGCAAAGTGTGGGAAAGCTCTGGAGAGAAGATTCACAGTTTAGTGTCATCAGGATCATCAGTCCCACCAGCACCTGTGAGTCTCTATGGGTAATATGCAGACTTCTATTGTTCAGTGGATAGAATGGGTGGGAGGGAGTATTTTGGGTTATTTCTTACACTATCTTATGAGGAAAATACAATAAATATTAAATAAAGAAAACTAATTTACTTACCCAAGTTATGAATGGCTTTTTCTATCTTAATGATGGACAGAGTTTTATTCAGTACATTCATGTAGTTCACTTGTTTTTGTGATAAACAGTGAACAGCTATCAATTCTAGTTAGGCATACAAAAGTTAACCCTTGGTCGATTTATAACGTAACAAATCACAGACAATAATTTTTAAAGAGTACTCAACATCATGTGTTCTATGCCATTCTAGGATGAATTTGTATTTATAAAGGTGTGTCTTGTTAGTATAATCTTGCCAGGGCTGATCTTTCCCTCCAAAACCCAGAAGGTCTGTGATGTCAGCCTCTGTCTATAGTACAACACAGAGCCAACAGCCGTCACTAATGGTCCACTGAGCAGCTTTTGTAGTGCATTGATCACAGCACACAGGACTCAGTGTGGGAAACTCAAAACAGCTCTCTACTCACACTGACCAGTAGCCTCAAGACAGAGGACACATCTGCTACCTTTGAACTCCAGAAGAAACCCCTTGATATTGATATGGATTACCCCTAAAATACTGAAACCAAGCTGTACATTATCCTGGTATCTATCCACTCACCTGTTAATGTTGACTAAAATCGTATATATTACAAAACATTCGGACTAATTGAAAAGACACGTATGAAATTAAACAGGATTTAAAATTATGACACATTGTCATACATCATCATATTGTTAAATGTAACTACCGGTACCAGTATGTGCAATGCAAAACCATATTGCAGAGTCATTCATTGCTATCAGAGGTCATATCCATGGTGAGAGAATAAAATGTATCTAAATCAGCGATGAAGAGTGGATACAGAATACTACATTCAACAATGTCCTTATAGGTAGGGATTAATAACACTGTACGTTTTATTCAAGAATCTGGGTCCGTCTCACACGTGTAAGTAGTAATGATGAGCGTGTGCTCTGTCAGTGTCATTGATCCCAACATCAGGCAGCAGATCTGTGGGTCACCACTTTCCCAGATTCACACAGCGCTCTGTGAGTCTCTCTCCATCACCCCCCACCCCTCCACCTGTTCCCCTGATACGTGACCATTGTCCCCCAGCAATAAGAATACTGAGCATGTGGCAGCTCCACACTCCTCATTGTCCTCCCAAGCTCACCCATTGGCTACAAACTGTGAGAAACTCCAACAAGCCCAAGACCCACACATTCATATGCAGATTTGGGACTATATATAGGAGTGATGAAGTCAGTAGAAATCAGATTCTCTCAACACTGAGACCTCTACAGCACAGAGATCCAGCCATGGCACCTGCAATCACTTCAGCTATGATCTATTCTAAGCAGCACCTGACTTTGACAAACAAGGTAAATTGAAAATTCAAATTCAATGACATTCATTCATTCAATTGTTTTGATTGATTGTTTATTTGTTTCAATAATGTCATACACCAGTATAAGGTTATTAATGCCTCTCCTCGTCTCTTCTTGCAGCTAAGAAAGCCAGTGGTGGAGAAGTTTCGCAGAGATCGTATCAACAACAGCATTGAGCAGCTCAAGTCTCTCCTGGTTCCAGAGATCCTCAACCAGCAGCCCGACTCCAAGCTGGACAAAGCCGACATCCTGGAGATGACAGTTAGCTTCCTGAGACAACAGCAACAGAACCAGCCAGTGAGCTCCTCCTCCTGCTCAGCACCTGTCAATCAGGGTTACTCCAGGTGTGTCCAAGAGATTGTTCACTTCCTGTCAAAGGATGAGTTGAAGACACAGTCCCAGAGAAGACTGCTGTGCCACTTCCAGAGCCTGCAGCCATCCTCTGATAAGAACAGGAGGGAGATTGACCTGCCTCCGCTGAGCTCCCCAGCCCAGCCCAGCATCAGCAAAGAGAAGAGTCCAGTCAACAGCTCCCTCTGGAGGCCCTGGTAGAGTCCTACAGACTGGAGCTCCACTCAAAACACAATGGATAGACCATGTTGGTCTAAGATTAATTTAATGGACAGTAATGAGTATAAGAAAAACATGTTCTTCATCTTCTGCTTATGCAGGAGTTTTTAAAAGTCTTGCTGTGATTGAGACACTTCATTTCAGTTGTTAAAGTGAAGTTAAAAAGTTTTTCCAAGAAAACAATCTGATCTATGAAAACTACATTTTTGTAGTGTTAATTGAAATCATCACAACCTTTATGTTTTGTGAAACGTGTTGATTATATTGATCATGTGTTCATATTCATGATCAACAATAACTTTAATTGTCCTCCATGAGAACCTTTAAACCAAAATGGATGTTGTATCATCAATCTTTTTGTGATAATCTATGACTGATCTGTTTTTAAGGTCAAAATATTATATCTATTTTTTTACCACTACATTTATGTAGTGATATAGTCATATTGACATTGTATTGAGGATCTTCTGTGAAGCATGTATCAGTTATATAGTTGATATTGATCAACGAGCTACAGCATCAATGTTCCTCCAGGAGGATTATTTACCCAAACTGGGTATTATACCTGTTATCATCACTCTGTGATTAGCTATATTTGATCTGTTTTAAGATTAGACTTTATTTGTGAAATTGTCACTCACATTATTTGAATAATGTGTTTATTGCAAATAGGAGAAAAAATGTCTAATAGAAAAACCCTCGTTAATTTTAAATAATTCTGTTGTCTTTTATAAAGACAGTAACTTTGTATCCTATACTCTGATAGATTATCATGTCTTGGAGATTTGTTGAAGTTCTTTTTGTGATGTTTAATCACTTTTTTTCTCTTGAAATATTTACCTTAAATTAAGGTATTGATTGTGACTCATTGAGTCAGTCTGAATAAATACACAAATCATCAAATGAAATATTCTTGTCTGTTGCTTTATTCTTTTCTTGACAAAGACAATCCTCCAACAACATTACATGGTTAAATGACTGATTTATGAAATTCCACATAGATTAAGTGGCTGATGCAAAAACAAAACAAATCATGTCCCAAGACTATACAGAATGATTTTGGTTGCATTAGAAAATAACACTCAATTCAATCAATAATTTAATTTATACCTCTAAGTGCTTTATTCAAAATCTACAATGTAAGAAAAATGTTAAGAGAATTTTCTACTTAAATGTTATTATTCTACAGTCATTGTTTTTGTGTAAAGTTATTACATGCTTTCTCTACGTTGATGATGGACAGAGTTTTATTCAGTACATTCATGTAGTTCAGTTGTTTGTGTGATAAACAGTGAACAGCTCTCAATTCCAGTTAGGCATACAAAAGACAACCCTTTGTCGATTTATAATGAAACTCACACACAACAATTTTCAAAAGAGTACTCAAAATCATGTGTTCTATGCCATTATAGTGGGGTGAACAAATATTTGATACACTGCCGATTTTGCAGGTTTTCCTACTTACAAAGCATGTAGAGGTCTGTAATTTTTTATCATAGGTACACTTCAACTGTGAGAGACGGAATCTAAAACAAAAATCCAGAAAATCACATTGTATGATTTTTAAGTAATTAATGTGCATTTTATTGCATGACATAAGTATTTGATCACTTACCAACCAGTAAGAATTCCGGCTCTCACAGACCTGTTCGTTTTTCTTTAAGAAGCCCTCCTGTTCTCCACTCATTACCTGTATTAACTGCACCTGTTTTAACTCGTTACCTGTATAAAAGACACCTGTCCACACACTCAATGAGACTCCAACCTCTCCACAATGACCAGAGAGCTGTGTAAGGACATCAGGGATACAATTATAGACCTGCACAAGGCTGGGATGGGCTACAGGACAATAGGCAAGCAGCTTGGTGAGAAGGCAACAACTGTTGGCGCAATTATTAGAAAATGGAAGAAGTTCAAGATGACGGTCAATCACCCTCGGTCTGGGGCTCCATGCAAGATCTCACCTCGTGGGGCATCAATGATCATGAGGAAGGTGAGGGATCAGCCCAGAACTACACGGCAGGACCTGGTCAATGACCTGAAGAGAGCTGGGACCACAGTCTCAAAGAAAACCATTAGTAACACACTACGCCGTCATGGATTAAAATTCTGCAGCGCATGCAAGGTCCCCCTGCTCAAGCCAGCGCATGTCCAGGCCCGTCTGAAGTTTGCCAATGACCATCTGGATGATCCAGAGGAGGAATGGGAGAAGGTCATGTTGTCTGATGAGACAAAAATAGAGCTTTTTGGTCTAAACTCCACTCGCCGCGTTTGGAGGAAGAAGAAGGATGAGTACAACCCCAAGAACACCATCCCAACCGTGAAGCATGGAGGTGGAAACATCATTTTTGGGGATGCTTTTCTGCAAAGGGGACAGGACGACTGCACCGTATTGAGGGGAGGATGGATGGGGCCATGTATCGCGAGATCTTGGCCAACAACCTCCTTCCCTCAGTAAGAGCATTGAAGATGGGTCGTGGCTGGGTCTTCCAGCAAGACAACGACCCGAAACACACAGCCAGGGCAACTAAGGAGTGGCTCCGTAAGAAGCATCTCAAGGTCCTGGAGTGGCCTAGCCAGTCTCCAGACCTGAACCCAATAGAAAATATTTGGAGGGAGCTGAAAGTCCGTATTGCCCAGCGACAGCCCCGAAACCTGAAGGATCTGGAGAAGGTCTGTATGGAGGAGTGGGCCAAAATCCCTGCTGCAGTGTGTGCAAACCTGGTCAAGACCTACAGGAAACGTATGATCTTTGTAATTGCAAACAAAGGCTTCTGTACCAAATATTAAGTTCTGCTTTTCTGATGTATCAAATACTCATGTCATGCAATAAAATGCAAATTAATTACTTAAAAATCATACAATGTGATTTTCTGGATTTTTGTTTTAGATTCCGTCTCTCACAGTTGAATTGTACCTATGATAAAAATTACAGACCTCTAAATGCTTTGGAAGTAGGAAAACCTGCAAAATCGGCAGTGTATCAAATACTTGTTCTCCCCACTGTATATGTATAAAGGTGTGTCTTGTTAGTATAATCTTGCCAGTGCTGATCTTTCCCTCCAAAACCCAGAAGGTCTGTGATGTCAGCCTCTATCTATAGTACAACACAGAGCCAACAGTCGTCACTAATGGTCCACTGAGCAGCTTTTGTAGTGCATTGATCACAGACACAGGACTCAGTGTGGGAAACTCAGATCAGCTCTCTACTCACACTGACCAGTAGCCTCAAGACAGAGGACACATCTGCTACCTTTGAACTCCAGAATGCTTGACCATATAACTACTGCTACTGAGTTAAGAGACCCCTTGCTATTGATGGATTACCTCTAAAATACTGAAAACCAAGCTATACATTATCCTGGTATCTATCCACTTTAATGGAAGCCTCTCAAACATAATTCAGGTAGAATCAGGAATTCCCCAGGGCAGCTGTCTAGGCCCCTTGCTTTTTTCCATCTTTACTAACGACATGCCACTGGCTTTGAGTAAAGCCAGTGTGTCTATGTATGCGGATGACTCAACACTATACACGTCAGCTACTACAGCAACTGAAATAACTGCAACACTTAACAAAGAGTTGCAGTTAGTTTCAGAATTGGTGGCAAGGAATAAGTTAGTCCTGAATATTTCCAAAACTAAAAGCATTGTATTTGGGTCAAATCATTCACTAAACCCTAAACCTCAACTATATCTCATAATTAATAATGTGGAAATTGAGCAAGTTGAGGTGACTAAACTGCTTTGAGTAACCCTGGATTGTAGACTGTCATGGTCAAAGCATATTGATACAACAGTAGCTTGTGGGTTCGATTCCCACGGGGGGCCCGTATGAAAATGTATGCACTCACTAACTGTAAGTGGCTCTGGATAAGAGCGTCTGCTAAATGACTAAAATGTAAATGTAAAAATGAGAAGTATGTCCATAATTAAGCGCTGCTCTTGCCTTCTTAACAACACTATCAACAAGGCAGGTCCTACAGGCCCTAATTTTGATGCACCTAGACTACTGTTCAGTAGTGTGGTCAGGTGCCACAAAGAGGGACTTGGGAAAATTGCAGTTAAAAGTACATGGAGAGCTAACATTGATGACATGCATGTCAGTCTCTCCTGGCTCAGAGTGGTAGAGAGATTGACTTCATCACTGCTTGTTTTTGTGAGAGGTGTCGACGAGCTGAATGTACCGAGCTGTCTGTTTGGAATACTGGCACACAGCTCGGACACCCATGCATACCCCACAAGACATGCCGTCAGAGGTCTCTTCACAGTCCCTAAGTCCAGAACGGACTATGGGAGGCGCACAAAACTACATAGAGCCATGACTACATGGAACTCTATTCCACATCAGGTAACTGATGCAAGCAGTAGAATCAGATTTAGAAAACAGGTAAAAATACACCTTGTGGAACAGCGGGGACTATGAAGAGACACACACACAGGCACATACACACATCCATATAGACTCTCACTCTACACACACGTACACATGGATGTTGTATTGTAAATATGTGATAGTGGAGTAGTGGCTTGAGGGAACACACTAAATGTATTGGGTAAAGTGTAATGAAATATAATGTCATGTAATATTTTAAATTGTATTGCCTTAATGTTGCAGGACCCCAGGAAGAGTAGCTGTTCCCTTGGCAGCAGCTAATGGGGATCCTTAATAAATACAAATACAAATACACTCACCTGTTAATGTTGACTAAAATTGTATATATTCCAAAACATTCTGACTAACTGAAAAGACAAACATGCATGAAACTAAACAGGAATTAAAATGACGACACATTGTCATATATCATCATATTGTTAAATATAACTACCGGTATGTGCAATGTAAAAGCATATTGCAGAGTCATTCATTAATATCAGAGGTCATATCCATGGTGAAATAATAAAATGTGTCTAAATTGTGATACAGCATGGGTACAGGTCCTCCCGAGTGGCGCAGCGGTTTTAGGCACTGCATCGCAGTGCTTGAGGTGACCCTACAGACCCGGGTTCAATCCCAGGCTGTGACCGGGAGTTCCATAGGGCACAAGTTGTCCGGGTTAGGGGAAGGAGGGTTTGGCCGGGGGGGAGGGGCTTTACCCAGCTCATTGTGCTCTTGTGGCGGGCTGCAGGCTGACTTCAGTTGCCTGTTGAACAGTGTTTCCTGCGACACATTGGTGCAGCTGGCTTCCGGGTTAAGCGGGAGGGTGTTAAGAAGTGTGGTTTGGTGGATACATTTTCGGAGGACGCATGACTCGACCTTCGCCTCTCCTGAGCCCGTTGTGGAGTTGCAGCGATGAGACTGGATCGCATTTGGATATCACAAAATTGGGGGTAAAATACAAAAACATAACATGAATACTACATTCAACAATGTCCTTATAGGTGGGGATTAATAACAATCTACATTTTATTAGAGAATCTATGTCAGTCTCACACATGTAAGTTGTAATAATGAGCGTATGCTCTGTCATCGATCCCAACATCAGGCAGCAGATCTGGGGGTCACCACTTTCCCAGATTCCCACAGTGTTCTGTGAGTCACTCTCCATCACCTCCCACCCCACCACCTGTTCCCCTGAGACGTTACCATTGTCGCCCAGCAATAAGAACACTGAGCATGTAGCAGCTCCACACTCTTCATTGTCCTCCAAGCTCACCCATTGGCTACAGACTGTGAGAAACTCCAACAAGCCCAAGACCCACATATTAATATGCAGATTTGGGACTATATATAGGAGAGATGAAGCCAGTAGAGATCAGATTATCTCTACACAGACCTCTACAGCACAGAGATCCAGCCATGGCACCTACAATCGCTTAATGTATGATCTACTCTAAGTAGCACCTGTCTGACAAACAAGGTAAATTGAATATTCAAATTCAATGACATTTATTCAATTATATTGATTGATTGTTTATTTGCTTCAATAATGTCATACTCCAGAATGAGGTTATTAATGCCTCTCCTCGTCTCTTCTTGCAGCTAAGAAAGCCAGTGGTGGAGAAGTTATGCAGAGATCGTATCAGCAACAGCATTGAGCAGTCTTTTCTGGTTCCAGAGATCCTCAACCAGCAGCCTGCCTCCAAGCTGGAGAATGTCGACATCCTGGAGATGACAGTTTGCTTCCTGAGATGACAATAGAACCAGCCAATCAGCTCCTCCTCCTGCTCAGCACCTGTCAATCAGGGTTACTCCAGGTGTGTTCAAGAGATTGTTCACTTCCTGTCTAAAATGAGGTGAGGACACAGTCCCAGAGAAGACTGCTGAGCCACTTCCAGAGCCTGCAGCCATCCTCTGATAAGAACAGCAGGGAGATTGACCTGCCTCCGCTGAGCTCCCCAGCCCAGCACAGCATCAGCAAAGAGAAGTGTCCTGTCAACAGCGCCCTCTGGAGGCCCTTTTAGAGTCCTACAGACTGGAGCTCCACTCAGACAAACACAATGGACAATTGTCGTCTAACATTAATGTAATGTAATAAGAATACATATTTTGCTCATGCAGGATGTTTAAAAATTCTTACTGAGATTGAGACTTTTTATTTCAGTTATACTGAAGTTGAAGCATTTTTCTGAGAAAATGATCTGCTCTATGAAAACAAAATATTTGTAGTGTTAAAATGTAAATCATAATCATTTATGTTTTGTGAAACGTGTTGATTATGTTGATCATGTGTTTATTCATGATCAACATCAGCTGCAATGGTCCTCTTAGAGGACTTTTAACCCAAATGGGTATTATATCATCAATATACTTGTGATTGTCTTTGATTGATCTGTTTTAAAGTCAAACTGTATAAGATACAAATGTTTTACCACTACATTTGTGTAGTGATATAGTCATTGTATTGAGCATCTTCTGTGAAGTATGTATCAGTTATATATTTGATATTGATCAACTTGAGCTACAGCATCAATGCTCCTCCAGGAGGATTATTTACCCAAACTGGGTATTATACCTGTTATCATCACTCTGTGATTAGTAATATTTGATATGTTTTAAGATCAGACTTTATGTGTGAAAATGTTGCTTACATTACCTGAACAACATGTAAACTGCAGATGGGAGAACACATTTTTCTCATTCTAAAACCCATGTTTATTTCAGACAATTCTTTGAGTCTTTATAAATCCAATACTCTTGTCAGATTTTACAGACGCTCTTATCCAGAGCAACTTACAGTAGCAAGTGCATACATTTTCATACTGTGCATCTATGGGGATTGAACCCATAACCCTGGCATTGCAAGCACCATGCTCTACCAAATGAACTAAGCCAGACTGTTAGAATATCATAAAGTATATCTTGGTTGTTGTGGTTGTGCTGTTTACTCTCTCTATTTGCACCATAAGCTAAGGTGTTCTCTATAATGTGACTCATTGAGTCAATTTGAATACATAAAATTACTTTGCCCTTTCCTCTCATTACTATGATAACATTCCACCTCAACAACATGTCAAATGCTTAAAATGTTACATTTTGGTCTAAGATCAATATATTGAGCAGTAATTATCAAGACTGTGTGAAGATATATTCATCATCAGCATGTGCAGGGGATTTATGATGTTATTTAAGTACTATCTCATAATGTGTAGGCCTACCTGAAATATAACTACACCATCACAATTACCATGTATGTTATGGTAACATCATATGTGATGTTAGTGAAAGTGAATGCCAATTGAGACATATTTTCTCATTCGAATGAAGCTATGGTAGTACATCTCCATTTACACTGGTGTGGGCACAAAAACACATTTTCTTAAGAACTAGTGTCATTTAAAGAATGGTAGTAGATCACCATTTACACTGGTGTAGGCACAAAAAAACATTTTTCTTAAGAACTAGTGCCATTTAAATAACAAATTGCTTACTAACTGATCTTGAACAATGAGATAAAACCAAACATGGCTGCTACTTGTTGTTGGACGTGGCAGAAAACAATCATTTTGCAAGTTAAAAGTAACCAAAATTATTAGCACAGGGCAACTATGTTTAAGAAACACGTATTAGGCCTATGCATTCATATTGTTTTGAGTCTGAGTTACCCTGTACATAAGATATCAAAAAGGAAGAAAATAAGATCCAGAGCATTTTGCTTAATTTCATGATTTATTCAAATTTACTCAGGAGTAAGGAATGTCCTTCATTTAAGGTAAACTTTCAAGACAAATAAAGTGATTAAACATCACAACAAGAACATAATCACTGCACAAATGTAGTCGTAAATTTTTTTTTCTCTCTTAGAAATGTTGTTGGTAATAGACAATCACAAACAGATTGATTATATAATACCTATTTTAGGTTAAAAGTCCTCATGGCAGATCATTAAATGTATTGATGATCAACATAATCAACACGTTTCACAAGATTCCGACTTGAATTACGGTATAACACAATTTTTTTTAGATTCATAGATACAATTATTTTCTTAGAAACATTTATTCAGCACAACTGAAATGAATAGTCTCAGTCACAAACAGACTTTGAAAACCTCCTGCAAAAACAAAAAGATGGAGAAGATATTCTTCCTATTCTCATTAATGTCCTTCAACATTAATGTAAGACCAACATGGTCCATGTGTTTGTCTGAGTGGAGCTCCAGTCTGTAGGACTCTACCAGGGCCTCCAGAGGGCAATGTTGACTCGACTCCTCTCTTGCTAATACTCTGCTGGCTGTTCCCATAGTTCTGAAAAAGGCTTATGAAGTGAGATTGATATTTTGGGTTATATGCTTTGATTGTAATGAATAACATCAATTAAAGGTTATTACATTTCTAATTATAATTTTTATTTGCAACATCGGTCCATCATTTCTGAGCCTACCTCCACATCAAGTCCATCTCTGGTGTCCAGAGTACCATTTGTAAAAACAATTAAACCATTAGGTATATGTGCTCTTAATCACACATGATTGCTTTAGCCTAATAGATAATAGAATACGTATTTGTAAATATTAATCTTTACTTTCTTGTTACCTCACTCATTCAAGGGTTTTTCCTTTATTTTTACTATTTTCTACATTGTAGAGTAATAGTGAAGACATCAAAACTATGAAATAACAATATGGAATCATGTAGTAACCAACAAAGTGTTAAAACAAATCAAAATATATTTTATATTGAGATTCTTCAAAGTAGCCACCCTTTGCCTTGATGACAGCTTTGCCACTCTTGGCATTCTCTCAACCAGCTTCATGAGGTAGTCAACATGGAATGCATTTCAATAACAGGTGTGCCTTGTAAAAGTTAATTTGTGGATTTTCTTTCCTTTTAATGCGTTTTTAGCCATCAAATTGTGTTGTGACAAGGTAGGGGTTTGGATACAGAGATAGCCCTGTTTGGTAAAAGACCAGGTCCATATTATGGCAGAACGCTCAAATAGCAAAGAGAAACCAGTCCTCTTTCTTAAAATTTTAAAAAACTTTGGGGCATTTTTTTCAAGTGCGTCGCAAAAACCACCAGCCTATGAGAAACTGGTTCTGAGGGCCCCCCAAGAAAGGAAGACCCAGGTCCTCTGCGGGAAGGGTAAGATAATTAGAGTTTACCCCGGCCCTCAAAAAAATTGCGCCAAATAAAGGGTCACTGCGGTCCGGCCTGTTCCTGATCCCCACGTAGGGCCAGTGGTGTGTGTTCCCAGTACGGTCCGGCCTGTTCCTGCCACTCGCACCAAGTCAGTGGGGCGCTTCGTCAGCCCGGCACGGCCCGTTCCTGCTCCCCGCACCAAGTCAGTGGTGCGTTTCGTCAGCCCGGCGCGGCCCGTTCCTGCTCCCCCGCACCAAGTCAGTGGTGAGCGTCGTCAGCCCGGTCCGGCCCGTTCCTGCTCCCCGCACCAAGTCAGTGGTGCGTTTCGTCAGCCCAGCTCGGCCCGTTCCTGCTCCCCGCACCAAGTCAGTGGTGCGCTTCGTCAGCCCGGCACGGCCCGTTCCTGCTCCCCGCACCAAGTCAGTGGTGCGCTTCGTCAGCCCGGTCCGGCCCGCTCCTGCTCCCCACACCAAGCCAGTGGTGTGCGTCGTCAGTCCGGCACGGCCCGTGCCTGTTCCACCGGTGGCTGGTCCGGCACCGGTCAGATGCTTCACGCCGGAGCTAGAGCAATCCGCTCCACCAGTGTGCAGTCCAGCTCCGGCCAGCGGGGCCAGACCGGACCAGGGGTACTTTGGGGGGTTGGAGAGGGAGCGGGGATCAGGCCCGGAGCCGGATCCGCCGCCTAAGCGGAGTGCCCACCCGGTCCCTCCCCTGTGGTGTTTGGTGGGCGCGGTCGGAGTCCGCGCCTTTAGGGGGGGGTACTGTCACGCCCTGGCTCTGGGGACACTTGTATGTTGAGCCAGGGTGTGCATTTCATTTGTTTATCTTGTATGTGTATTTCTATGTTGGCCTGAGTGGCTCCCAATCAGAGGCAACGAGTGTCAGCTGTCGTTGGTTGTCTCTGATTGGGAGCCATATTTAAACTGTCTGTTTCCCATTTGTGTTTGTGGGATCTTGTTTCAAGTCTGTTTATGTTAGACCGTGAACTGTCACGTATCGTTTGTTGTTTTGATCGTGTCTCTAATTAAAGAGTATGTTTGCCTGCAACGCTGCGCCTTGGACCTCTTTGGTAGACGATCGTGACACTTGTTGTTGGACGTGGCAGAAAACAATCATTTTGCAAGTTAAAAGTAACCAAAATTATTAGCACAGGGCACTATGTTGAAGAAACATGTAGTAGGCCTATGCATGCATATTTGGAAGTCTGAGTTACCTGTAAATAAGATATAAAAAAGGAAGAAAATAAGATCCAGAGCATTTTGCTTAATTTCATGATTTATTCAAATTTACTTCAGGAGTCAAGGAATGTCCTTCATTTAAGGTAAACATTTCAAGACAAATAAAGTGATTAAACATCACAACAAGAACATATCACTGCACAAATGTAGTCGTAAAACATTTTTTCTCTCTTAGAAATGTTGTTGGTAATAGACAATCACAAACAGATTGATTATATAATACCTATTTTAGGTTAAAAGTCCTCATGGCAGATCATTAAATGTATTGTTGATCATGAATAAACACATGATCAACATAATCAACACGTTTCACAAGATTCCGACTTGAATTATAACACTACAAAAATTTAGATTTCATAGATACAATTATTTTCTTAGAAACATTTATTCAGCACAACTGAAATGAATAGTCTCAGTCACAAACAGACTTTGAAAACCTCCTGCAAAAACAAAAGATGGAGAAGATATCTTCCTATTCTCATTAATGTCCTTCACATTAATGTAAGACCAACATGGTCCATTGTGTTTGTCTGAGTGGAGCTCCAGTCTGTAGGACTCTACCAGGGCCTCCAGAGGGGGATGTTGACTCGACTCCTCTCTTTGCTAATACTCTGCTGGGCTGTTCCCATAGTTCTGAAAAAAGGC